AGAGAGAGAGAGAGAGAGAGAGAGAGAGAGAGAGAGAGAGAGAGAGAGAGAGAGAGAGAGAGAAAGTAATGTCGAGATATTTCGGCGCGCAAATTGTGTTCCACGGGCGAGTTCACTTGTACGAATTGTACGACCGAATGCAAGGAGGATTTTCTCGGAGTCGCGAATCGATACACATATTAACGGGCGAAAATCGTCGACGACAGCCCAGTGCGGACTAGCACGTGCTTGAACGCGACCGTGACGTCGCAGGCATTTTTGAATAATAAGAGAGCCGATCGCCGAGATAGCGCGGCCGCGACTTCGAAACGTGCCGTGTCTCTCGGATCTGCTCGTGTGTGCTCGAATACCGATTGTTCTCCCCCTCTCTCCCTAGCGAGGAATATTATTAGAAAGAGACACCGGGCCCGCGATCGCGGCGATACACGCGGATTCCTTCGAATACATTAGGACGTGGCGTGCATGCGCCGTCACGAAGGCCAGAGGCGCGCATGGACGACGAAACGCGCGATTCGCACACGGGAAGGAAGGATCTCACTGGCGCGGCTAATCGTGCTCTGCTGTAAAAATGCATTTATCGCTGTAACCAACAATCTGCTGCTGCAACTGACACTTTTACTACTATAGATTCTACTGATAAAATACAAGATGTTTGTCGCAAGACACGACAATGCACGTGTGCAGGTAGAGCACATCAAACTGAGCAAAAGGACCTCCACCACTTTTTCAACAATTACATAAAGTTACGAGATATTAATAGAAGAAGTTCAGTGAATATCAATACCCGCGATGTTGCGGGGCGAGCTTCTGTAGTTGCATATTGTGCGTGTTGTATCTTGCGTTAGACAGAGTCCTGTACATGTCTATAGACTATATTTTTGAGTGTCCATACACGGGAAAAAAAATTTGCTGCAGCAGCAAACTAATTTGCTATATATGGACAGTTAAACATAATTCGCTGTGTTAGCTACTTTTTCTTTGCTGCAAGGAATCTATTTCCCTGCTATGATAACAAGAAAATCTGCTCGTACAGCAAGACAAGTGGCTAACGCAGCAAATTTGTTACAGATGGGTAACTAGATATAATTTACTGCTTTAGTTACTTTTTTTGTTGCAGGAGCAGATTTTCTTGTTATCGTAGCAAGGAAATTGGTTCCTGCAGCAAAGAAAAAGTGGCTAATTATTTTTAGTTGTCCATATCTTTTTTTTTGTGTATGTTGCAACGAAATTCAGCTATTTACGCAAATTTCTGCTGCTGCGACTAATCTTGTTCTCCACGCACGACGACGCCACGGTAGATGCGGTCTCGTGACTCGCCAATCGCGTCGATTTTCGCGATATTTCTGATCCCCGTAACTCAGAATCGATAATATAATTTGGATGGAAAACGGACGTCTTTTCTATTCGTCGTTAGAATTCTAGGAAGTGCAGTAAGAAAGGAATTCAACAAGTCAATGAAAGTCAACGCGAGGGGGTATCAGTTGCGAATATACAATTACGTAGGAACTCGAAAGTAGCCCGAGCAGTCCCTTTTTATCTTCTCTTTTATTTACGTCAGAAAGTAATCGTGGACAGAGATCGCGTCGATATATATCGAACGGAGATGCAGACAATTAAATTTGCACAAGAGGCGCCCCGGACGTCGCGGTGTCGCGCGCGTTCGCGCCCGATGATCCACGTTATAAAAGTGAAATTCGTCACTTCGTTATCGCTTTGGGGAGATAATATTCCTCGTGCGATACATCGACAAGTGTCACTCGGTGCAGATCGAGCGCACCGATATAAGCGGATTTTCGTTGCGCACTTTTGCGCGTCGAGAGACGCGGATCGCGGACTATCGAAATTCGATTGAAAATATAGTTTGCCAGGAGCGAGAGAGCGCGCGGGCGAGGCTCAAAACACACCGTCATTCGCTCGGGCGATTTCGCTAAACCGTAGCCGTGCGGTGTTAGAAACCGTTAGGGGCTACGATTCGACGAACTTTGTATGCTTTTATCGATTATCTGTAGAGAGAAAGAGAGAGAGAGAGAGAGGTGCCCGGGAAGCAAAAACGGAACACCAGATCCGATAATATGTCTGCAACTCTAACGCGTCGCACTGTCTGGCAAAACTGCAAAAGATTTTAATATCGAAATGGGAATATCGAGAGATGAATAGATAAATACATTTTGGATGCATTATAGATGTATTTAGAGAGAAAGAAAAAGGGGCAGTTATACCTCCGCAAAAATTTGTCCTTTTCAATTTTAATCAATTGTGTCGCACTATTTGTAAAAACTGCAAAATATTTAACATTGAAACGGGAATACGGAAAAATGAATGAATGAATGCATTTTGAATGCATTATAGATGCATTTAGGAAGGAAAAGGGAGTCGAGCCTTTGCAAAAATAGTCTCATCGTCCACGAGGTATGAAAAATCCTCCGAAGTCTGCACGCGTCGCCGATCGCGAGATATCGACGAGAGAGAAACCGTCTGCTATCGAGATCAGGCCTGTTCAGTAAGCGACAATAAAGACTCGACATGCAGCTCGTAAATAGCTAC